CACGTGTATTGGCCCTGTTTGACGGTGGGAAAATCCTAATTCAAATGATTCTTCACTGTCGATTTTTATTATTTCTGGTTTATTTGTCACATTATAAGCAATAAATTAGTTTTGTTTTACTTCTAATGTTGCATATTGTTCATTTATTTCTGTTGCATGTTTTTATTTGCCGTTCTATTCCCTGCTGCAGTTCGATCTGCGTGTTGTCAATTTTCGCGAATTTTCGGGGTTTTTTGCTGGGGATATCCTGGCAAACACCCACCCCTATTTTTTGGCAATTTTCCATGTTCAGGACCCTGGGCTTTTACCCAGATAAATACGGTAGGTATTGTAATTTGTTCTAACATTCAGAGTAATCAGAGTGACACAATCTTAATGGTTTTCACTGTAGAAGAGTTGTACACTCACCTTAACAGTTCTATCCAAGGAAGCACTGGCAAATGTATTATTGTCTTTGGGATTGATAACAATCTGCATAACATAATGTGTGTGTCCTTCAAATACCTGTGTACACTGCCACTTCTTTTCATAATCCCATAATTTTATCAACATATCATCTGGACACATAAATATAAAGCTGTGTTAAATACTGTGAGTAGAAATTGTCTAAAGCCTTTTGTTCACTGGTTAGGCATTACATTGGTCAGCAGGAACAGTTATTGGAGTTAAAAATAAAGTCAACTTGTGTGACTGTAACAACTTGTTGTTTCAATCATCTTAAAAGAAGTGAGAATGACAATGCAATGTATTTGAAAAGTCAACCAGCTCAAAAAGCTACTTCCCCAAGTCTCACAGTGCAGCATGTTCTTCATCAGTTTCAAATATGGATATACAGTCAAACCTGTATATAGCGACCACCCAAGAGACTACATTAAAATGGTCATTATAGACAGGTGGTCTTTATATGGAGGCTTGGATTATTTTTTCCAGCTCGTACATTTGACATACTATTTGTTCAGAAAATGACGAGATGGTATTGTTGAAACAAAAACATATTTATTTGAGTTGATCAAAATCAAATAAGTTTGACTTGAGAAAAATTAAAAATTGTTGAATGGTATGGTAATTATTATTTTTGTCTCTAAATAAAGGCAAATCTGTAAACATATTGCTGAAAGAGTAGTCACATAAAACTGGTGTCTTTATACACAGTTTGATCATATGTTATTCATGGTACATGTACTACCAAAAGTAGTCACTATAGACAGGTGGTCTTTGTATAGAGGTTGTCACTAACACAGGTTTGACTGTGTCAAACAAAAATACACTCACAGTCATAGTGTGATTCTCACTTCTTGTATATGGAGTTTAATTTGTTGCTTAGTTTTATTTTTGTTTATTTCACTCAATTCAGTATGTATGTTAGTGAGTATGTAAAATAATTTAATATTGTCTTGACAAATGAGTGGAATTTTAACATGTGAATATTTTTCCATCTTCAGCACACAGAAGTATCATTTGAAAATGAAGACCAAAGTTACAAAGCTGAAAAGTTTGATACTCACCACTACTTGTTAAGATGTATGGTTGGGTTGGATGTACAGCAATGCAACGCAAGTAATCAGAGTGGGCTTCAAATGCATGTACTCTCTCCAATGTGTTGTAATTATAGGCACGTAGTTGCATGTCATCCTGCAGAAAAACATCAAAACAGCATAGGAATGAGTGATCTGCCGTTTACTGCGAGATCTTGCATATTACTTGATAGGCACAAACCAAGATGTCTGCCATAAAAATCAAATTTTGAACTTAATTTTTTGTAGTTTAATTTTTAAATGCCAATTTTTCAGAAAGGAATATGGTGGTGAGATAGGTGGGGAATACCCCAAAAATATTTTCCTTGTTTTTTTTGCGCCACTATGACATCTAGATTTGGCAATGAATAGGAATTGGTCTATTGTTTGTGTTATCCATGCCATGTTCAAGTCAATATCCACACATAAGATTAGGTTACAGTTGATCGCCCTCAAGCAGTTGTATATAGAAACATTTTGTTTTTGTCACACTTTGAGTCAAATGATCATTAGTCCAGAGGTGGTTGTTGCGATGTGTAAATAATCAATGAATTTTACCAACATTGCCCTTTATTACAATTTACAACACAATATAAAGTACTTCTACTTACAGAACCAGTGATGATCCAATTCTTTCTTGGTAAAAACTTTGCTGCTCTTACTGGCAAGTCACATACCTCAAATGATTTCACCAATGTCTGAAAAATTAATAAATTAGAAGTAAAGAAGTATCTAAAATATACAACTCTGGTGAAGTATTCATATAGTGTTTATTAGAATAACAAATATGACATATTTTATTGCATTTGTATAAAATTGGGTTGAAATCTGCATATGACCAATTACATGCAAATGACTTGTTTTCACACCATTGTTATGACTGTATTCATCAACAAGCTTCATTTAACAGATCCTGAATACCACAAGGTTTTCTACATGTCAAAAAAATAATGAACATGCATGGATCACAAAAACTTGTATATATTTATATTATTTTTGGGGGAGGAGGGGGGTAACAGATAAACGTGTCTTTTTCATTGCACTAAGTCATCATACTTTTCATTACAACTATTTACCTGGCTTAATTGGAAACTTTAGTATAAATAACTCATTTGTTACAGTTTAGAAATGCTACATTCAAAACATTGGAAAAAATTTTAAATTACAATCCCACTTTGCAAATTTGTGAGGTATAAATCCACAACTGATACAATAAAATATTGGGATTCTTTATGAGAAATGAGAAACGGGGCTCCGAAATAAATCTAGATAACACACTCATTTAAGTTGACGGTTAAGACGCTATATTTGTTTTGGAAGGTCAGATACACATTTTAGATATGCTTGTCCAGGAGATAAAACCCACCAGTACTCTCAAAATAAAATGGATGGATAAGTGAGAGCAAGATATCTACTTTTAATTTATTGTTTTAGCTAAAAACAGCATCATTTTAACACATTTTATGTTTCAAAGCTTGTTTTAGATTTTATATTTCACATATTACACAAGTGCATGCTCTACTCAAATATGGTAAAATAGATCCAGAAAATGTGGAAAAGAAAACAAATTAACATGGGCATACTTATACCTGTAGAATTATCATTTTAATGGTAATATTAGGGAACCAGCTCATTTTGGAAATTACAACCTTATGCTGTGTTAATGTCATTAATACTTCAGATGTGGATTGTAGCCATTGTCAAGAATAAACCATGACAGGTCTTAGAGTTTTTAAGTCAGTCTATGACTTTTTGTCGGAGTTTGATTTTTTCAGAAGTGACAGTCTGAGCTCCTGCAGTCATGGAACAGTTTGGCTGGTGTCGATGACTATAACAGAGTTCTATTCTAGCAAGTTGATGGAGGACAGTACTTTGAAAGTGAAAGCAAATCAATAGTGGCATAGTAAGGATGTGTCTGTCAATCATATTTGCCTAAATACCTGTCACCATATCTTTTGTGTATAATTTGAATTACCTGAGAATCATGGTTCCATACATGGACATTACCATTGTATAAACTCACTAGCATCCAGGGTTCAGAAGGATGCAAATCAACACTCTTCACACGGTCAGACCGTGCTGATAATTTACGCTGTAAAATAAAGATTAATAATGTGAAATCATCTTACTGGAAATCATGTTTCTTTGAGAAATTTTGGTGACTTGATTACAGAGATATTAGTCAAAGAAAGTTTTGAAAGAGGCAATGTACGTACAGGGCCGAATGATCAGCGAAAGGAGACCAACCTACATGACTGTACTCAGGGCTATGTTTGCCGAAGATGTTGCATGTTACTACAGCAATTTATGTTCAGATCTTGCCATGACACTGATTAACTTGAAGATATGGAGTTGAGCACAACAACTACATCCGAAAATGGATGGCTATATAGAAACTTGCTCATATTGCTGAACCAGTGAATGCTATGACTCATGTTGGTCAACATGGTTTTTCTATTCAATTATGCATGAAACATGGTAATGTTTCAGGGATTTTTGTAAACGAGGGAACAGGTGTGCAGCGCCCTCATGCTATGGCCATGCACCCCCTTGCCCGAGGGAGCAGATCCTCTGGCAAAAATTCTGTAACATATTGTTGCAGTAAAATTTACCACATTTTAATTGTTATTGTAGTCACGTTGTTGCAAGTACTTAGTGGGTGGTATGAAAGGAGAACATAACTTTTCAAAAGGTGTATACTAATAGTGATAGTACTAAAAAAAATAATACATACCTTCACATCTAATCTCAGAGGCTGAAAAATAACAAAATTGGCATTAAAGATCATGTATGATATAATATGCACCCACCGAGCTAACACCCTAATAGTATTAAAGTTGCACATTTCTGACTAACAGAAAGTTCCATATGAAATTAATTGAACTGGACACTATATATTCAACAACAGATAAAGAAAGTAACACAACGTTGAGAATCTTGTCAATTCCCACGCCATAGTCAAATACTAGTAATTTGGATAAGTATGTTATACTAGTGCAGTACAGTCAAGATCCAGCCATCGAGATACAGGAAATCCAATGACAAATCGGCCATTCAAAAACTGAATGAACATCCAAAAAGTCCCAAATTACTCAAGACAACAAGGCGGACACTCTTCTACATAGAATTAGTACAAACTAGCGAGTAATCAGAGTAAACTAAAAATAAACAATCATAATTCCTACCATGTTGTGCTTTAATTCGAGGTACCGCTAGAAGTGAGAGACGTGTCTGCTTATGACGGACACACAGACGTGGCAAAATCACGTGAAATCTCGAGTCGTAGAACGGAAACGTGAGTTCGTGAAAAATTTAGTTTACGTTGTTAATCAGCAAAAGTGAGACTTTTGTTTTGTAAAAACGAGCGAATGCGATATTTCTTATACTTTCAATAAATATCATTGTAAAAATAAGCAATAATTTAAGTGAGGGCCAGTAAAAGTCAATTCACCGGAAGTAACCAACGAGAATTGAATGGATGGGTTCCATTTATTTACTCATTTATGTATAGTGTCCACAGACAGGGTAGATCCGGGACGGACCGATATAAAGTAATGCGTCACGTATCACGTATGCTCATTGTTAACTGTCTAATATACATATATATATAACATAACACTTTCAACATTATATAGTATTCGTCCACAGAAAAGCGTGCAACAAGGTGAACGAGCGTCCCTGTGAAAAATAGAATCGACCAACGCCGCCATTTTCAATTCCTAAGCAAGAAGTCAAAACACTGGCGTAGAAACGGATATGTTTCGTAGTTGAAGACTGTTTTTCTTCTTCTTGGAAGGCACTTACCTATCCTATTTGTGTATTCATGCAGTGATAGTATAATCAGAACTAATTGGGACATTTTCAACGGAATGTAGTTAATTCTCTACAACTTATAGCAAGTTTTGGTGATTGTGTTTAAGCAATAATTGGCTGGTTTGGTCACCGTAACAACCGAAGTTTTACTTTTATTTCGTATATATTATTTTCTTTGTAAACATGGCATATATGAACTCATTGGTACCAGCTAGATTTCTGAGTTTGATTGCTCATCTTGTAATTCTAATAACTATACTTTGGGCAAGGGTGAGTACGTTATTTTGTCAGCATCACATAAACATAGGTGTATTATTTATCATAGTCGTGGGCTTGTGAACCGCACTGCCACTGTGTGCCCTCTAACGGGACTGATTTTGTATAGACCTCGAGAAGGGATGGAATGACAAAAATTAAGCTTGAGAAAGAGGTCTTCACGACGAAGAACTGTGCACTGCTGCCACATCTACTACATGTATACCAGTATTTAACAGTAAATATAGGAAATTATAAAAATGTGTAAATTCTGATCATTTTGGATTAACTTTGACTATGGAACTACAACATGCTTTGACCTAGTGTCTTACAACATGGATATATTAACAGTGGTAGTACGTACATGGTTGCAATGGGATTACTACTGTAAGAAGTTTGATTTTCACTGCTAGACATTTTTTTGCTTTTTGCGAAAGTCACTGAGACTTCATGTGGTCGCGATTTTCACTGACTCATAATTTGTCTTTAATTTAAATTATTCAATTAAAACAGTTTACAGTAATAAAATAAAATATGTCTCCATGCAATAGTCTAGAGTTAAACCTGTGTCTGTGTTTTTTTTCAGGATGCTAATGTTAAAGCGTGCTTACCACTGGAGTACACTGATGAACAGTATTCAGCCAAAGACACAGAGTAAGAGACATATTTTTACACTGTAAAAGTCAAACCATTCTAATAGTGCTGATCATTGCACATACATTATCACCTGTGTAAAGCGGTATGTTACCAGTATTAGTGATTTAAATCACTATTTCTGAGATAAATATCGATTTGTGCGAAATATTTGGGAGTTTGCATTTGTTCCAAATTATTGTGGTCCACAACAGTTTGGAACAGAGGCCCTTAAATAGTAGCTGGAACAGTCAGATGGCAAGCTGGAAACAGTTAGTAAATCTTTTCCATTATTCACACAAATTTATACTGATTATATTTTTACATATTAGTTCCATGACCCTTTAGGAATAATAATTTTCAATTTTTCTGTTTATTTCAGATTGATAATTGGTTTATCACTAGGTATTGCATTCATTGGAATTGAACTCATTTGTTTTATGAGTGGTACAACAATGTTCATGCATTCACAGAGTTTGATATGTATCCTTTACATTTAGTGCCATTTTTCCAAAAGGAAAGTGTTGTTGTGTGACATAAACAAACAAGAAGTTATTATGAATAGTGAGTTTTCTGCCAGGTTTCCCTTGTGTTTTGTACAAAACAAAATGAGACATTTTGCTGAACTTGGAAAATCTAAAGCAGAAAAATACATTTTGTCAATGTTTATTATATATTGGAGGTAATTTTCCCAAAAGTGAATTTAAAAAATTTCTTGTTGGTCAAACTGCACTATTTTATAGACAGAAGAAAAATATTATTCTCACAGCAATGACATAATTTACATGATTTGGTGTGTTAAAAATCAAAATATTCACACCTACAATGTCTTGAAGGAATTTGTCGCTTTGAAAATAAAGCAGTCAACAGTATATAATTGTCTTGTCCTTGACACACTTGTCAGCAATTGGAGCCCATGCTAGTGGTGCTGTAGCTCTCTCATTTTACTTATTTGAAGAATGGCCTTGTGATACATTCTGGTGGATATTTGGATTTTGTAGGTAAGTAATGTCCAAATAGTAGCATCGATATGTCACAATCTTTGTATCAGTCAATGAAGAAAAACATTGTTGTTCAACTTATTTAGTAATAATAATTAATTTAACCAGACCATGAAAAAAATATTATCTGACAACCAGGCATAGAAGTTTTAATTTTCACCAGTTACCACTTTTCTGGCACCCGAGCAGGCACAGGTTATACGTAACTGCTACTGACAATGTTTGTTAAGACTTTGGTATAAGCCTGATGGTGGCATTACTATGGTCTCATAACTTGGTTGCATTATACTGTTTTTAGCTCCGCTGTCGACTTTGTCGAGCGGAGCTTATCATATGAGTGATTGTCCGTCGTCCGTGTCAATGTTTTACTTTTTCGACTTCTTCTTGAAAACTACAAGCCTGAATGCTTTGATACTTGGTGTATATGTACCTTGGGTAGACCTCTCTTAGGTTTGTTCATTTCATGTTGATATCTTCAATTCTCTAATTTTGGTGAATATTTTTGTCATTTTTGGTAAAAAGTGATATTTTCGACTTCTTGTTAAAAACCGCAAGTGCAATTGCTTTGATATTACATATATAGGTACTACATGTGGACCTCTCTCAGATTTGTTCATTTTGTAATGATATCTTTAATTCTCTAATTTTGGTGAATATTTTTGTCATTTTTGGTAAAAAGTGATATTTTCGACTTCTTGTTAAAAACCGCAAGTCCAATTGCTTTGATACTACATATATAGGTACTACATGTGGACCTCTCTCAGATTTGTTCATTTTGTGATGATATCTTCAATTCTCTAATTTGGTGATATTTTTGTAATTTTGGTAAAA